TACTACACTAAATCTAGTATATCCAACTCAATTATTCGCAATGATTTGTTCTTCTCCCCTTTATAAAAGATTTAAAAAAAAAAAAATATATATTATTTAAATTCAAGTGCCCTTTTATAGATTGTATCTCCAACGAATTAAATAATATTTATGTTGGTCACACCACAAACTCGAATTTTTTCACGACGCTTGACACTACATTTGAATGAAAACTCTAAATTTTTTTAGGCATTAAAACAACATGCCTGGCCGCATACACAATTCCAGAAAATCCTTGTTGAAAACACAACTATTTAAAAACATGAAAAAAATAAACAAAAAACTAAAAATTCTTGAAGCTATATACATAAAACAGTTGAAACCTAACCTGAACAAAATAAACTATGAAATCTCCACAAATATTCTTAAATGCCTATAATTGATAACAGAAGCCATTGGTTTATACCAACGGCTTCCCATACTTAATACTTCTCGTTTTCACTCTCGCGTGGTCATGTGTGACGTCATGAGCTGCGCGGTGCGATTTTCGCTTCCAGCGTCTTATATGCACGAGTTTGTCGTTGCTTTGAAATCTTCCATGTAAAAAAAACAGACTATCATTATTGTTTTGTCCGTGTATTGTTTAATATATTGTAATGTAATTGTCATCTTTGATAATGGCTTATGTAAGCCGAAAGCTTAGATTGGATTAAAAAATATGTATCAATATTGTGATTTTCTTTCTTCTTTCAATGATAATGTTATTAAACTTATCAGACAATATGAAAAGAATTTACATAAAATAAATAGACAAAACTTGTCTATATTATTTAATGAAACATGCATCAATATATATATATATATATATATATATATATATATATATATATATATATATATATATATATATATATATATATATATATATAATATATATATATATTGAGATAAAATAATATATTCGGCAATAAATATAATTTATTTTCAACAATTTTTAAAATATACACCAATCATAAGGTAGGAGATTTTTCTCATTTTCCTTTTTTTCAGTTGAATTAAATATATTTCGATAATTATAAAACAGGGCCAATCCTGTAATTTTTAAAAAAATTTCCGAAAATTAAATTCTTATTAATTTAAAATTTTAAAGCATTCTTTTAATATTGAATCCTTTTAAAAAATTAAATATGATCCTTAATGTAAAGATTTATTTATCCTGGAAATCAATCTATTATATATATATATATATATATATATATATATATATATATATATATATATATATATATGCCATGTGTGGAATTAAATTTTTTTTGAAAACAATATATATTGAAAATATATGTTATTCAGGAATTGAAATAATTTATTTTGTATTTAAAAATTTTATAAAATAATATTTTACCACAATTGAAATACTGAAATTATTTTCCATATTAACGTTTAATGATTATATTTCAAAAAATTAAACTAAAAATGTAAAAATTTTAATTTTTTTTATAGTTTTCAAGAAATTTTTTAGAAATATTCCTGAATTTTAAAAATTTTTTCAAATAATTTATCTCATAAAAAAATTAAAAATTAAAAAAATTTTTGAAAAAAATATTTCATTCCATTTTGTAATTTAATGCCTTAATCTTTCTTTATATTGTTTTAAGGATAAATTTTTTAAGAAAAATCTTTGGTTGTATCTAAAAAATTTAATAATTAATATAACTGTTCATCTTGATGCCAATTTTTTTTCATAGATGTGAAAATTTTTTGAAAGATTTTAAAAAATCATTTGTTTTTTTTAAATCTAATAATAACATTTTGAATTTAAAAAATAAAAAAATTATCATTTCTAATGACAAAAACAAATTCCCAAAAATTTACCAAACATTTAAGATTATATTTTTTATAAAAATTTTAAATATTTTTAAAATCCGTCCTGTTTATTAATTTTGTTATGTACACAAAAAAATAAAAGAATTTTCTTCCAAATTTTTATCCAAAAATGGTTATTTATCAAATAAAAAAACAAATTTATTTTTTTAAATATTGAAATTTATAATGGAAAAAAAAATTTTCATTTTCATTATTGATTTTAATTTAAAATCCAAAAAAAAATTATTTTTATACAAACCAATGAACTTTAAATTCTTTAAATAAAAATTAATTAAAAAATTCAAAAATTATCACATGAATTTTTTAAATATTTAATTTTCAAATACAAATTGACAAATTTTTTTTTTTGAACGACATCATATAAACTTAAAAAATTTATTAATTATGATTTTAAAATTAAATAAAATTTCTAGTTTGATAAAACTTTTAAATTAAATTATAAAAAAAAATGGATGATCTTTAACTTTAAAAAAAAATGAAAAAATGTTAAAAAATTACATCAGTTAATAATGATAGGTAAAGAAAATTTTTATGTAAATTTATTTTCAAACTATAAAAACTTCATTTTGTAATTTTTTTTTCTTTTAGTTTTTTTTGTTTTTTTGTTTTAACATTAAAAAAATTTTTGGAATTAAAAACTGCCATCAAAAAAAAAAATTTTTTTTCATAAAAATTTAAATTAATAAAATCAAAATGACAAATGAAAAATATTTTATAATTTTCTTGCCAATAATAATTTTCTTGTTTTTTTTTTTGTTGTTTTAAATTAAAATTTTATTTTTACTTTGGGATTTTAGAAAAAGAGGTTTCAATTAAAATTTATTTATTTGATTATGCTTATTTCCTCCCTTGAAATAATTTATGTTTTTAGATTTAATTGATGTAATATAAATAATAAATAATTTAAAATGATAAATACCAAATGTTGATATTCCAATATATTTAAATTTGATATATATTAAAATTTATGATTATAATAATATTTTTCAAATTAACATATTTTGGAAAAAAATGGAAAATTATTTTTTTTCCAGGATTTTAATAAATTTTAGACATAGATTTAAATATTCTAACAAAAATATATATCATTTTTATATATATATTTTTGTTTATTATTTTTGATATAAATTTATACAAAATTTCAAATCTTTTTTGCTTAATTTTGTATAAATTGAATTCAAACCAAAGAAAGAATTTAAATCAAAATTTTATCCAAAAGAAATGAAAATAAAAAAAATAATAAATTAATAAAATAATAAAAGAATATATTTTTAAAAATAAAAAAATTGAAAAAAGAAATGGTTAATAAAAAAGAATTTTTTTTTTGAAAAGAAATTGGAAAAAATAAAAAATTCATTAACATTCAAATAAATTTTGTAAATGTTCAATTTAAAAAAATGTTTTGAAATTCCTTTAATTAAGATCAAAAAAAATCACAATCATTATTTTCAAAAAAAAAAAAAATATAAAAGAAATCAAACATTAAAAGATGCAAAAATCCTGATTTATAAAACATTTATAAAACATTTTTTTTTGAAATAAAGGAAAATAAAAAAGAAATGTAAAAAGAACAAAAAAAAAAGAAAAAAAAAAGTTTTTTTTTAAAAAAATTAAAGATTCTTTTATTTAAAAAATAAAAAAAAAGAAAAAAAAAAAAAAATTGAAAAAAAAAAAAGAAAATTTAAAAAAAAAAAAAGAAAAAAAAAAAGAAAAAAAAAAGAATTTTATTAGAGAAATTTAAGAAAAAAAAAAAAAAAAAATAAAAAAAAAAAAAATTTGAATTTTAAAAAATTTCCAAATTTGCAGAAAATAAAAAAGAAAAAAATCTTATTAATAATGAAGAAAGAAAATAAAGAAAATAATTAAAAAAAAAAAAAGAAAAAAAAAAAAGAAAATTTTCCAAAAAAAAAAATTTATTTTCAATGAAAAAAATTTAGAAAAAAAAGAAAAAAAGAAAAAAAAAAAATTTTTAAAAAGAAAAAAAAATTTCTTTAAAAAAAAAAAGTAAAAAAAAAAAAAAATTAAAAAAAAAGAAATTTTAAAAAAAAAAAATTTTTTTTTTTTTTTGTAAAAAAAGAAAAATAAAGAATTTTAAAGAAAAATGAGAAAAAAAATAAAAAAGAAATTTAAAAAAAAAAAATTAAAAAAATTTTAAAAGAAAGAAATAAATTATTTAAATTTTTTTTTTTTATTTTTAGAAATAAAAGAAAAAAAAAACTGAAAAGAAAGAAAAATTGAAAAAAAAAAAAATTTTTTAGATTAAAGAAAAAAAAAAAAAAAAATAAAAGTTAAAAAAAAAAAAAAAAAATATAAACATTTATAGATATAAATTTTCAAAAGAAAAAATAATTTAAAAAAAAAAAAAATAAAAAGAAAAAAGAAAAAATTCATCAAAGTTAAAAAAAACTAAGAAAAATTTTCTATTTGAAAAGAAAGAAATTTGAAAGAAATACAAGAAAAGAAAAAAGTTAAATGAAAAGAGAAAAAAAAAAAAGAAAGAAAGAAAAAAAAAAAAAAAAAAAAAAAAAAAAAAAAAATAAAAGAAATTCAAAAAAGAAAAAAAAGAAAAAAAATTTTTAAAAAAAAAAAAAAAAAAAAAAAAAAGAAATTTTAAAAAAAAAGAAATAAAAAAAAAAAAAATAAAAAGAAAAGAAAAAAAGAAATCAAAAAAAAATAAAGAAAAAAAAAGAAAAGAAATAAAAAAAGAAAGAAAAGAAAAGAAAAATAAAATAAAAAAAGAAAAAAAAGTTTTTTAAGAAAAGAAAAAACGAAAGAAAAATCAAGAAAATAAAAAGAATAAAAGAAAGAAAGAAATAAAAAAAAAAAAAAAAAAAAAAGTGTTTAAAAAAAAGAAAAAAAAAAAGAAAATTTTTAATTAAAGAAATGAAAATAAAAAATTCTTGAAAAGAAAAAGAAAAAATTGAAAGAAATGAATTAAAAAAATTTTTTTTAAAAAAAAAAATTTGAAATTTGATGAAAAAAAAAAAAAAAAGAAAAGAAAAAGAAAGAAAAGAGAAAGAAAGAAAAGAAGAAAAAAGAAAGAAAGAAAATTAAAAGAAAAAAAAAAGAAAGAAAAGAAAATAAAAAAAAAATTCAAAAGAAGAGAAAAAAAAAAGAAAGAAAAGAAAAAAAGAAAATTAAGAAAAAAAAAAAAAAAGAAAGAAAGAAAAGAAAAAAAAGAAAAAAAAGAAAGAAAAGAAAGAAATAAAAAGAAAAAAAAAGAAAAAAGAAAAAAAAGAAAAAAAAAATAAAAAAAAAAAAAAGAATTTGTTTAAGAAATTTAAAAAAAAAAAAAAAAAAAAAAAAAAAAAGAAAGAAAGAAAAGAAAAAAAAGAAAGAAAGAAAAAAGAAAAGAAAAGAAAAAAGAAAATAAAGAAAAAAAAAAAAAGAAAGAAATAAAAGAAAAGAAAAGAAAGAAAGAAAAGAAAAGAAAAGAAAAAGAAAGAAAGAAAGAAAAGAAAAGAAAAAGCAAGAATGAAAGAAAGAATGAAAATGATGAAAAAGAAAGAAAAAAATATGAAAAAGAGACGAAAGAAGGATTCTAGGAAATGATTGGATATTTGAGTAAAGCTGACTGTATGAGAAACAGGCTGAGAAAAGAAAGAAAAACAAATCTGAAGAATAAATGAAAATAAAAGAGATTTAAAAAGAATGAAAGACAAGAGAAAGAGAAAAAAATAGTGAAATATATGGAATTTAAAAGTATGATAGCTGATGTAATTCCATTAGTGCTGCTTCTTCCTACAAACCACTGTTTCCTAGGACAGACCCCCAAGGTGATACTTCCCCGATCCGTACAATCTTAAACCCTTAATTTTATGGTTAAACGTTATCCTTCCTACATATCCTCTGAAGCTGCTCATCTTACCTCCTCCTCTTATGTAAAACAATCTAAGTCAATAACCGTCTACCTTGAGTGGCTCTTAGGCTAAATTATTGTAAAAAAGATAGAACGAAATAAAAGCAAATAAGTTGTAAGAAATGAAGAGAGGAACTGACTGATAGATAAGTGATGATAATGGATGAAAAACAAAGAAGGAAAAAGAATGAAAGACAAAGGGGTGAAAAAGAAAGAAAGAAAGAAACGGAAGCATATAAAATGCTTAAGAAGGGAAGACGAAAGGTCGCAAAAGAAAAAAACAAATAAAGAAGACGAAGGGAGAGAAAAGAAAGAAAGAAAGAAAGAAAGAAAGAAAAGAAGAAAAGAAACGAAGCATAAAAATGCTTAAGAAGGAAGACGAAAGGTCGCAAAAAGAAAAAATTGTTAAAAGAAGACGAAGGAGAAAAAGAAAGAAAGAAAGAAAGAAAGAAAGAAGAAAAAAACCAAGCATATAAAAATGCTTAAGAAGGGAAGACGAAAGGTCGCAAAAGGAAAAAAAAAAAAAGCCGACGAAGGAGGGAAAAGAAAGAAAGAAAGAAAGAAAGAAAGAAAGAAAGAAAGAAGAAAGAAACGGAAGCATATAAAATGCTTAAGAAGGGAAGACGAACGGTCGCAAAAGGAAAAAACAAATAAAGCCGACGAAGGGAGGGAAAAGAAAGAAAGAAAGAAAGAAAGAAAGAAAGAAAGAAAGAAAGAAAGAAACGGAAGCATATAAAATGCTTAAGAAGGGAAGACGAAAGGTTGCAAAAGGAAAAAACAAAGAAAGAAGACGAAGGGAAGGAAAAGAAAGAAAGAAAGAAAGAAAGAAAGAAAGAAAGAAAGAAAGAAACGGAAGCATATAAAATGCTAAGAAGGGAAGACGAAAGGTTGCAAAAGGAAAAAACAAATAAAGAAGACGAAGGGAAGGAAAAGAAAGAAAGAAAGAAAGAAAGAAAGAAAGAAAGAAAGAAAGAAGCTACAAACAAAAGAAAGAACACACGATAAAAAGAAAGAACGAACGAACGAAAGAAAAAAGAATGGATGAACGAAGGAAAGAAAGACCGAACGAGCGAACACACGAAAGAAAGAAAGAAAGAAAGAAAGAAAGAAAGAAAGAAAGAAAGAAAGAAAGGAAAACAGACTCCAAGACTCACTCCAAAAAAAGATTTACCAACCTCAAAACGCCACCCTGCATAACAACATCGCGGCAAACAGAAGAAACTCCATGATAAATGTTGCTTATTGAATTTGGTTTCTTCCTATCCTCCCCATAATCTATCCTCACCAACGTCAATATTTGTATTTTGTTTTGTCTTCAGCTATCCACGGGGCAAATGAATAACCAAAAAAGATCAACAGCTACAATAAAATAAAATAAAATGATAATCAAAATGGCGGCTGATTGAATGGCGGCAAGAGCGGAAGGCGGGAAACTGCACTGCTCTCGTCTGTTATAATCATTTGTCCATTTGTTTTGCTCATGAATCAGTGTTCTTCTATTGGTTTATTTGTGTCGATGATTGATTGATTCATTCATTTTTCTGTTTTCGTTTCAGTAGCCAACGTGGAGACGTCGCCCGTAATATTTATTTAATTATTTATTTGATTGTTTGTTTAGGGATGCAAATGGTTTTAACAGTTTAGAGTGCTGTCGTTCCGTCAATATATCTTCTTTTTGCCTCTTTTCCTTCTTCTAATTGATATTTTCTTAAGGGTCGACGAAGGCGTCAATTAAGCTGGATAGTTTGCTTGATGTTGTAACATGTCAACCCTTTGTTGGTTTAGTTCATGACGAATTTTGTATGGGGCACTCAGTGAGAATCGTACTCACTGCTCAAGGTTTGTTAGACATTGCCCCATGCTTTAGTTTACTTAGAATCTCTATAGAAATTTCTCCTCCAGCAACGAAACTAAAAAACAAACCTGTAATCATTCACAAATACTTACCTCTTTCGTCTAGTATTTCCCAAACGTTTTTTTTTCCTCTGGTTAGCACTTCCGGAATTAAAATTTGCTTGCGCATTCCCAAAGGCAAAGCCCGTTGAAAGGCACAAGCAACCTTGTGTTAAAGAAGGTCCAGGGAGAGTGTTAACGGGAGATAACCGCGGATTTGAAGTCAGAACATTATCATTGATAACTCTCTCCTCCAATTTGCGGAGCCTAGTTACTCTTCTTATTATTCTTAATACTTGATATAATGTACAAATCACAATAATAAAATCGGTCAGTAATTATGTATAACTATTTATACTGGGATTCATGCATGCAATTACAAGTAATCATACTTTTTTTTATAAAACCCAGGTTGTGTGTGTGTGTGTGTGTGTGTGTGTGTGTGTGTGTGTGTGTGTGTGTGTCGTTTATATATTGGATCGGATTTCCTACATTTTTCAACCGATTTCAAAAAAAAACTTCACAGGACTACGTAAAATTACCTTACAGTGGTTTTTCATAGCGCCAAAAATTGGAAAACACAATTGTTTTTGCACTAAATCAATTTGAAAACACGATTAAGAGGCATCGCTGTCGCGAGAATGAAAGGGGGACAAATATCGAGTTATACCTATTATAAAACCTAGATTGTGTGTGTGTGTGTGTGTGTGTGTGTGTGTGTGTGTGTGTGTGTGTGTGTGTGTGTGTGTGTGTGTGTTCGTTTATATATGGGATCGGATTTCTTACATTTTTCAACCGATTTCAACAAAACTTCACTTTTTTTGGCCGGTAGTGTTTCGTATTGTCTTGCACATTTTTTTTCTTTATTTTTACATTCAGAATGCTTTAAAAATTCCATTTACAAGACAATTGTTTATAATAAAATTCTATTCAATCGGTCGACTTATAACGATTAAAAACAATGTTTTTGTTTGAGTTTGACCAATTCGTAAAAAAAAAAAAACTTATTAAGACATGCGTGTCTGTCAACCTAAACAATAATCTTTGTCAATTTTATTTTTCAGTCTTTATGATGGTCGATACTTACTGTTACATCCCCGGGCAACGCCGGGCTCTAGTGCTAGGGCATAATATTATTTTAAATTTTGGAATCATATTTATTTTTGGCATATGAATGTTTTGGAACTGTTCTAAATCTTTGATTGCCTTTTAATCATTCAGTCTTACCTATGCTAACCTCTTCCACGGCGCCTAACCCTAAACCGCGCTGCACTATTTGGGAAGCATTCCTTTGGTCCAGTAAAGAATCACTGAGGGGCAAACGTTACGGTGTTGAGGAAGATGTGAAAACTTCTGTAAGGAAATGGCTACATCAGCAACCAGCTGAGTTTTGCAAAGCTGTGATCCATACCCTTATTCGTAGGTGGAACATTTCCTATGTTGAGAATTAGGGATGTGAACCTATGATGTATAGCTGTATCTTGATGCCTGATATGTTTGATTGTGTTCTTATTTTCTTATACAATAAAACAAATTTCATTACTTTTTTTTTCCCTCACCCTCGTATGTAGGAGGAGGCACGGTGGAGTAATGGATAGCGACTCGGATTGAGGAATCGGAGAGCCGAGTACGTGCTAATAATACCCTAATAGCAGGACAGACAGAGTTCTATAGACCTGGATGGCAACTGGTCTAGGAGAAGTGTGATTGGCTCTGCACAAAGCCTTCACCACTATAATCAGATCATATGTTCAGGTGACTGGCAGTCGGTTCCAAGGAACTGAGCTGCTTGACACTCATACGTCGAATATGACGGGGAGTCCATTATATATATATATATATATATATATATATATATATATATATATATATATATATATATTACACAACGGAGCCAAGTTCGAATTCTAGTCGAATCCATTACATTCACTTACGTGCTAATACCTTTTGGAAAGGTATGAACACTCTTGTCCCCCCTAGATATGGGTAAATAGCAGGAAGAAATGCCAACAATCTACTGCTGGAAAAATCTGCCTCGTCAGTCATGTATCGAAAGATACATGATCGCCTAAGGGTGTATCATGCATGGCACATAACTGACTAACTCGTATATATCCAAACAAGTTTTGTTAAATTCTACTGACAGCTAGTCGGTTTAAATTTTTATTTGTTTTACGAATTTTCGAATAATGCCTGTGCATCTAAATCAGTATTATGGATTTCATGTTAAGAATCAGTTGCGGACTAGATAGGGTGTTAATTTGCCCGATGGCAAGTGGGCCCCTGATGGAGTGGGGTCCTCTATATCAAATAAAACAGCAATAACAAAACAAACACAGCAACTGTCTTAGTAACAAAAAAAGGAATAGAAACTTTATAAAGTCATCTGCATACTATCAGTTACTCAAGTCCAATGTGTGAGTAAATTTTCAAAGCTAAAGATCTTAAAGACAAGTTTAAGAAATTCGCTCTCCGAGGAGAATTTGGAATCATACATGTTGCTATCCATTGAAAAGGAAGTGTTATATGAATGAATTGGATGCAAAAGCCATTATTGACAGATTTGAACAATCATCTCGTGAATACGATTGCTCTTAATATAGTGGACTAAATTCAGTGCTCTAATGTGCTTTTGAATCATTCGTTAATGCGTAAATTGTAAAATAAACTTATTCAAAATGTCAACTAATTAATAAATTAAAAAAAAAATGAGTAAAAAATTCACATAACATTATGTATTTACATTTGGTAATTACTGCCAGTAATATGTATAGTATATGTCCACTTTAATTACTAAGAAATACGCTTTTTTTCTTTCTTAGAAAAGAATTAATTATACCCTTTCTTTTCTGCATATATTTTTTTTTCTAATGTGCTTTTGAAATATCCGTTAATGTGTAAATTGTGGGTGGATTGGCCAGGGTGTCAGCTTGCCCGATGGCAAGGGGGCCGCCGATGGAGTGTACCCCTCAATATCAAATAAAAATGCAATAAAGAAACAAACACAGCAACTGTCTTAGTAACAAAAAAGAATAAGAATTTTATAAAGTCATCTGCATACTATCAGTTACTCAAGTCTAATGTGTGAGGAAATTTTCAAAACTAACGATCATAGGTAAAATTGCTTTTTAAAGCCCATATTTTTATATATTTGAAAGTTAACTTTCTCCGTGTTTTATTTTTTTTTTTAAATCCTTTTTAGCCTTTTCTTTAAATTGTAATTTTTGCTTGTTTTAATTTTCAGTAAAATTACAATCATCCAAAAAAAAAAAATTACATTGCTTTACAGTAGTGCGTATTGATTTCGCAAACGAACTTCTGTGAAGGAAGTAAATAGGCCAAAATTTATACTTCCGCTACCGTAAGTGAATATTATAGCAGTAATAGTGGACGAATGACCAACAATAAGTCCGATTTTTTCTTGTCGATAACTCCAAAACGGAAGGTTTCTTCATAATTTAATTGTTAATTCGAGTCCAGCATATACATTTGCACAGAATTATGACGATTTGGGAAAATTTTAAGAGATATTTGTCGCGCGGGCGTTTGGGCATTAAAAACAAATTTACCAGATCATAAAGAAAAGGTTAAGAAGTTCGCTGTCTGCTGGTATCCATTGAAAAGGAAGTGTTATATGAATTGGATGCAGATGCAATTATTAGCAGATTTGAACAATCATCTCGTGAACACAAACGATTGCTCTTAATATAATGGACTAAATGCAATGATCTAATGTGCTTTTGAAATATCCGTTAATGTGTAAATTGTCCTTGGCGGATTAGTAGGGTGTCTATATTTGCACGATGGCAAGTGGGCCGTATATGGAGTGTAAAATTTATATAAAAATAAAAAAAATAAAGAAACAAATACAGCAACTGTCTTAGTAACAAAAAAATATAGAATTTTATAAAGTCATCTGCATACTATCAGTTATCAAGTCTAATATGAGGAAATTTTTCAAAACTAATCATCTTAAAGATAAGTTTATATTTATATTATAAATTTGGAGAATTTGAATCATACATGTTGCTATTCATTGAAAAGGAAGTGTTATATGAATGAATTGGATGCAAAAACAATCTATTGACAGATATGAACACTCATCTCGTGAATACAAACGATTGCTCTTAATATGGTGGACTAAATGTAATGCTCTATTGTGCTTTAGAACTATTCGTTAATGTGTAAATAGTGCAGGAAACTATTTAAAAATAACAATTTTTTTAAAGCATTTCACATCAAGCAATGGGGTCGTCCTGGGTATGATGATAAATTTACATCCGTGTCCAGAGTAAGACGATAAACTATTCATGTCCAACAGCAAGGCCTCTGAT